AAGAGCAGCTAACTAGTGGGAATTCAGAGCACAGCAACTGAACTTACCAGATTGCTGGAAGAAATGATTTATGAAGATTAAAAGATTTGTAAACGTATAGTTCAACTACAACTTTCACAGAAGAGCAAAAGGGATATATTTAATGCATTGGGAGCTGTTACAGTGATGTAGCTGGAAAGAAGGCTTTTCCAGCACCGCTGACGTCGGCTGATGCTCTCACAGATCGGAGCAGGTCCCTGCCCACATACCCAGGCGGGCGCCGAGGCACAGGACAAAGCCCAAACTTTTGGTGGGGTCCCCTGTGCCTGCTCTCACCTCCCTGAGAAAGTGATGATCCGAATGCTTTATCACATCCAGTTTGTAAACATTAGTCCTACCCCTGACTTTTTATTAGCTTAAATCAAATATTGAACCTAGCTCAGCTGCTAGAGGACAGCTGCTTGCGAAGTGATTCACTGCAATATTCCTTCTAGGCCACAAGAAAATACAGCCTAATCACCAGCCGCATGACAGATGCACACATTTTTAATTATGGAGAAGAAATTAGGCGCTGAACTTATCCCCGCATCTCACTTAATCAAAGTGCTTCGCTGGAGCTGCCAGCCACCACAGCCGTGGAAGGAAGGAGCTGCAGAGGCCCTCGGACGGGTGCCCAGTCGCGTACCGAGCCCCTGCGCGCAGCCCCGCTCCAGGCATTTACTGGGAAAGACCTGGAAGAAATAGTGTCGTGTTGTTTCTTCATTCCTCAGGAATGAGCTGTTGGATTTCTCGCTTCAACCACCTCCAGCCACTTGCAGCCAACAAAAGCAGGAGCAGTGAAGCTGAGACCTTTGGGGCAGCTGGGAAGGAAATGGTGTGTGAGAGCTCTTGCCCCCCGCGCCAGCAGCACGGGAGGGTTATCTGCAGCAGAGGCTGGAGCAGCTGACCGGTCCCATGTAAGAATTTCACATGGGGAAAGGTGAAGCCCTGCCCAGACGTTGCTGAGCTCCGTTTACGAGCTTTTCGATTGATCACGTTCACTTTTGCATCTCGAGAATCTCTCAGTAGGATAGACTTGCATGTTGAATTTTCAGATTATGCATAAAAGTCAACCTAAGCTCCAAGGAAATTCTCATTACTTAATACACATGTTAAATTCCCATGGACCACTGAGCTCAAGCATTAAGAAATCTGATAAGCAAACAGATATTAAGAACCAGATATACAAATACATATCAAGTCCAATTTGCCCACTGAAGGCAGCACAACCAGGTAGAAGAAAATCAAACAGCAAAGCAGGAAAAAAAAAATCCTCTCAAGTATTCAGTCAATTACTTTAAGCCTCAAAAAAAAAAGGAGGTTTGTCAATGCTAAACATTCATCTTACATGACAACACAGTCTAATCTACTGTCAATGCTGCTGTCATCCTCAAAAGAGAGCGGCAGGAAGGGAAAGATAACCTGTGCTCCGGCCTCGCTGGGATACTGCAGCTCAGGCCTGAAAGAGGAGCAGGAACGGTTTCCAAGGAGAAGAACCAACTCGACTCCTAAGGAGGCATTTCTGAATTGTTTAGCTTGCTTCCTCACATCAATAATTCATCTTCTATACCTTCCAAAAGTCAGCCTTCACTGCCAACGCTGGAGGAGGCTGGTCAGGGAGGGCTTAATGAATGAAACTAAAGCAATCTGGTGGTTACAACACAGGCGTTAACACCGGCTGCATCAACAGCCCCACGCTCTTCTCCAGGGGCCGAACGTGAGCGGGCTGCCCTGACCGACGGGCAAGCAGCTCAAATGTGAGACTCACTTGTAGGAAAAAATTAGCTACTCCATCTCTAATGAACAGTCTTTTTCTACACAACAATACTCTCCGCTCTACAAGCAATTAGCAAATCGAAGTCCCTTTGTGGGCCTGCATTAATTTACTCCTCGATGTTGCACATTAAATAGCTCACAGGTACGGCACAGCACAGTAGTGGCAACAGCAAAGCCATAAAATTAAAGCTTGCTTCAAAGAGTTAGGGAAGTAAAATTATGCGAGCTGCATACAGGGAATAAATCAAAATAACCTTCATTTGGAAACATCATTTTAGTCTCATGCTTTCATCAAAAAACATGATTATCTTAACAGTCACATTAATACAGTGTAGGTCCTTTACAAGGGAGAGAAACAAGCGGCACATTCACTACCTCATGTTCAGAAGAGTCATTTTTATTCTTCCTCATCAGGGTGAGATACCTGAGAATACACAGAGCTGCCTGTTCCGGGGTTGTGTTTCACAGCTGTAAATCCCCTCCACGGGTCTCCAGGAGGAAAGCCACTTGTTGGAAGGGCAGCACGACCGCATGGGAGGGAAAAGGAGGAGGTTCAGCCTGGCAGAGCTCTGTCACAGCTGCAAAACATGGCATTTTTACAGCACACCAAAGCCCACGATACACTTAGCAGTATTTTATATGCAACAG